TGAGTCGGTATGTCTTTATGTATATGTACTTAATATTTCTATTTATTTTTTTGTTTCATATACAAATGTTTACTAACTGTCCTTGTATTCTTGGAACAGGTTTTGCGGGAGACCGTGAACGGCATGGTAAGGACTTTACGTGCTTTCTGAGCTGCTTATCGAAGAGCCCTCGTGAATTTTTTATGTCGTGATCATCGGATGGTCGCGGTAAGTTTTATTATATATTATTTTTTTTCTTTGCAACGAAGTTATTACATTTTCTGTATTAATCTTCGTTTTGGATTTTGCAGGATGTGCAGCAACCGTCTAATAGTAGTCGAGCACCCTGATTCATTTTGTACACATTTATTATATTTTTTTTAGGAAACTTATGTATATATATTATTTTTTTTGTATATATGACACATATATATATATATATGTCATTATTATTATTATTATTATTTGTTTCCATGTGTATATTAATGCAAAAAAATTTCGAGGGAGGGAAAGGGTCCCCGACTTACCCTCCTCGAAAAAAATAAACAAACTCAAAAAACCAAAAAGAAGGCGCAAAGAAGGAAAAAGAAAATAAAAAAAGAAAAAAAGTAGGAAAATAAAGAAAAGAAAAAGAAAAAGAAAGTAGGAAAAGAATGAGGAAAAAAATATAAAGAAAATAAGAAAATAATAAAAGAAAATAAGAAAGTAGGCAAGAAAAGGGACACAAAGTGTTAGAAGGCAAGCGTATGATTCATCTTAAAATCTCGTGAAGATTCCGTCATTATATGAGCAAAAATACGGAAATTAACCAACTTACATGCCGCATCAGGGGAGTCACGCGCAATTGCGTGAGTTGCGCGCGGCTGTCGCGCGCATGTAATTCTTTTGCGCGCGGGTGTCGCACGCAACTTTAGAGTTGCGCGCGTCACCTGGCAGTGAACTTTCCTTTAAGCTGAATTTGCCGAAAATTTTCCCCTCTTAGGTCTATTTAAAGGTGGTTTTGTGTAGGCTTTTGATCATCTCGCATTCATTCGCTTAACAACATAAGAAATTAAAAAGAATTAATCACTCTAAATTCTTATTCTCTCTCTCTTTTTCTTTCTTTTTTTTGAACGATGGTGAATGGTGAAGACCTTTGAACAAAGTTTGAAGCAATGGGTCACATCCCTTTCAACTGAGGACAAGCTAGCTTTCAAAATTTACCACTTGGACCCTTTATTAAATTATATGCAATTAGTGGTTAACTTTGATTTTCTTCATGCCGCAGTCAACCATTGGGACTCTAACCACCATCTTTTCTTGTTTAGAGGGGACGAAATTGTCCCCCTTCCTTGTGAGTTAAAGGCCTTGCTAGGTTTCCCTACAAGCACTCTCCCTGTGACTTATTCGCCTACCTTGTCGGATCCCAAACCTATATTCCAAAGATTTTTTGGTTTGTCCGACAATGATATGACCTTCATGGGAACTGAAGCAGCGTGAACTTAATTCAATTTATTGAACACTTCGTTACCCCTCGTGACAGCATGACTAAACAATGCTATAAAATTCGTGCTTTATGTTATTGTCTTGTTGTTAATTGTTTACTTAGGACAGGCAAATAATACGGAGATTATTTAATGGTGTCCATAGTAGAACAAATAGAAGGATGTCATTCACCCGCTCTTTTGGTTTTGGCGGAAACTTTTATGTGCTTGAATCGCCTTAGAGAAAATGGTCTCACGGGAAGTCCACTCCTATTACATGTACGTTTTTTTTTCGGGGTTTATCAGCGCAAGACAAAAAAATGTGCTAGCATGACCAGCGCAATCTTCTTCGTTGCGTGCACAGGGTGCGCGCAACTGGTTTAGTTGCGCGTGCCACCTGTTTCTGTATGATGAGTGTCATTTATGGCACTCATTTAGTTCTCTTTATGATGAATTTCATTCTTTTCTATAGCTCTTTTACTTAGCTTTTCCTTTATTTTACTCTTTATTTCTTTTAGTTTGCATTTTCTTAGTTGAATTTCTTTCTTTATGTATTTCTTTGTTTATTTTGTTATTTTCTCTTTTATTTGCTTGTTTTCCTTTATTTTTCAGGTTAAGGTCGTTATCCAAGTTTCCTGAGGCCTCTCCCCAAGTTTGGCATTGATTAGGATGCCTAGTGGTCTCCATTTGAAGCTCGATCATGGAGAAGTGCAAGTTCCTAAAGACCTTGAGCTGTGCATTCAAGTCGTGGGGGCATGATTTCTAGTCTTTAACCCGCAAACATGGAGTTTAGTAATTGCAAGGTTCCGTGTTTATCAAGAGCATTAAGTGGAACACACGAGGTGCATTGGTATGATAGGGAAGATGGATGCCCTGATCCCAGGCGCGCGTGGCTTGGTGGCACGGGCGCGCCTCTATCGGGAGTGGGCGCGCTTCTCTCGGGCGCGGGTGCTCCTTTTCAGGTCCCTGTTCCGTACCCATAATTGCGCGGCCACTCTCTCTCTTGTAGTTGGTTGCGCATGTTTGGGTTTATTTGGGGACGATCTAACTAATTTCTCTTAGTTATTTTTACTATATATAGATTTTCTTTCTATTTTTAAGGAAAGTTCAAATTTTCAGAAATTAGAATAGAATTAGGTTAGACTTTTAGAGAGAGAAACTCTAATTTGTAGAGAGAGAAGTTCTTGATTGAAGATTGAAGATTGATGATTCTAAGTGTTTTACTCCATTGAATTGAAGCAAGTTTGTAAGGATTTCTTCACTTTAATGCAATCTTTTTTTTTTATCTCAATTTCTTTGTTAATTGTTCAAGATTGATTGATTTTTGAATTGGTATATTTTTTATCAACATGATGATGATGAATTTGTTGCTTAGTTTAGTTTTGATAATGATTTCTATGATTAGTGCGTAGTTATCTTTATAGGGAAATTGTGAAGCATAAATGAGTACTTGATTTGTGCTAATTGGGGGAAATTGATGGAGTTGATGTTGTGATAGGTTGATTGATTAAGTGCATGTGTGTGTTCAATTTAGGACTGATCAACCTAAGTTTCTCATACTAGATTGCATTGTAGGTTCACATTGATACGAAAAATTAATTTGTGACTTGCATTTGTCAATTGATTAGGTTTGCAAGTTTCCTAGCTAGAGTCTCTCGTAGTTGGCGCTAGTTTGACCTCTAGGGATTAGCCTACCATATTCTCTTGATTGCTTAATCGATTTTCCCTCGCAACACTTAACTTAGTCATCTCCAATCCCAATTAGTTGAATTAATTACTAGTTTATTTGGATCCATACTCTAGTACTTGATAAGTTTGATTTTCGTTTCGATTGTTTGATTGATAGAATAGACACACCTCACTTCATTTGCTTCGAAATAGCTTAGCTTTGATTTTAGCATTCACCTCCCATTCTTAGTGGTTCGACCCTCGACTTACTCTATGCTTTGTGTAGGGGTGTGTTGAGAGATTATAAATTATGTTTTGACCAAGGGTAGATTAGTTTTCAACGACCTAGTCTTTTCTTCGGGTCAAAAATGGCGCCGTTACCGGGGAATGGCGTAGATGATTGCTATTGTTGTTAAGTCTATTTCACCTTATTTGCAAAAATACAAAAAGATTTTCTTTTTTAGGCTACATTTCTAGCCGTGCTACTAATAATTTTGTTTGAGATTGTGTGTGCAAGTGAACATGGGAGAAGCTCAAAGGGTTACATTGAAGGAGTTGGGCACTCCGGATGCATACAAGTATGAGAGCAAAATTGCTCCATTATTAATCCCGGATAGTGACTTCGAAATCAAGCCGACAATGATAACTTTGATTGAAAGGAGGCAATATAGTGGAGGAGTTAATGAGAGCCCCCTAAATCATCTTAAGGAATTCGAAAAATATTGCAACACTATTATGGTGAGTGGGGTTGCACAAGAGTTTATAAGGCTCAAATTATTTCCTTTTTCCCTCATAGGGCGAGCCTTGGAATGGTTGGACAAGGAGATCAAGTGTAATTCTTTAAGAACATGGGACGATGTTACCAAAGGATTCTTATACCGTTTCTACCCTCAACGGCAAAAGCTAGAACTTTGGTCCAAAATTTCAAGCAAAGGCCTAATGAAAATCTCTATGAAGCATGGGAGTGGTACAAAGAGTATCAAAGAGAGTGCCCTCATCACAGAATTCCAACTTACCAACTAATTTAAATTTCTATGGCGGTTTGAGTCCTCAAGGTAGGTCGAGCTTAGATGCCGGAGCCGGAGGCCCAATCATGAACAAGACGGTAGAAGAGGTTGTTGATGTTATAGATGATGTAGTGAGGAACTTCATGAGTTGGCAAAAGGTTGAGGAAGAGTCAACAAACGAGTGTGCCTTGGTTGATAAAGTCAATGCCATCAACAAATTTTCTACTCTACTTTCGGACTTAGGGAAGGAGGTGGCTTCTATCAAAGCTAAGCATGAAAATTCATCTTCACAAGCACAAGATCTTCCCTCCCAATTTAAGGGGAGAGGTACATCTTCTTACTCTAACCCTTTTTTCGCTTCTTGTTGCATGATTAGAGAATGTTTGGCTTGTGATTTATGCGGAAAAAATGATCATGATGCTTCTAACTGTCCAAAAGTTCCTTGTGATGGATGCTATGAATATAATGAAAATGAAAATTTGCATGTGAATTATGTTGGAAATAGTGATTTTGGATCTAGAGTTAATGCTCAAAAGAATGTTGGAAATAGGAACTATCACAACCATGGGAGCTACGATAATTATAACCAAAATAGTGGTTATAGGAACCAAGTAACCCAAGGGTTTCGTAGTAACCAAAACAAATTTGGTTGTAATGATCAAAGCTACGGCCAAGAATATGGGGATCATAACCAAGGTTATGGTAATCATAGTCAAATTCCGACAGAAATCTTGATAAGGGTAATTGGAGTAACCAAAGTAGAGGAAATTTTCAAAATAATTCTCAATGGGGTTCCTCACCCAAATGTACTCCAATAACTCAATGCCAAAGTGATGATTCCTATGATCAACAATCTCAATTTATGAGTAAGCTAGCGAATTTCATGGTAGATCAAGCCAAAAATTTGGACGATTACATATCCTCTAGTGACAAAATGTTTCATGGCCTATTAAATCATGAAAAGATGCTTGAGAACCACATCGTTCAACTAGCTAACCCCTTGAAATATTGTGCTAGCCCATCTTCTTTACCCTCACAAGAAATTGATCCTAAGGAACCGGTTTGTTCTATCACCACTAGGAGTGGTAAATTCCTTGAAGAGAGTGTTCCTAGGAAGAGTAAGGAGGGTGAAGAGGGGAGTGATTCGAGCAAAGAGAATAAGCATGAAGAGTCTAGCAAGATGAGTAAGAAATCTAATAAAGAGCAAAAGGAGAAGGAGAAGAAGAAAGATGAGGTTTATAAGCCCAAACTTCCATACCCCCAAAAGTTCAATAGGTACAAATTGGATGAGCAATTTGGACAATGTATTGAGATGCTGAAGAAAATTCATCTTTCTATTCTTTTCACCGAAGTCTTGGAACAAATGCCAAATTATATATATTTTTTTTGCGTTGTTGTATGTATGACACATTTGTATATATGTCATCATTATTATATTTTTTGTTCCGTCTAGTAGGAAAATAAAAAATAAAAAGAAAAAGAAAAAGAAAAAGAAAGTAGGAAAATAAAAAATAAAATAAAAAGAAAATAATAAAGTAGGAAAATAATAAAAAAAATAAGAAAATAAACAGAAAATAAGAAAGTAGGCAAGAAAAGGGACACAAAGTGTTAGAAGGCAAGCGTATGATTCGTTTTAAGATTTCGTGAAGATTCCGCCATTATATGAGCAAAAATACGGAAATAAATCAAACTCACATGTCGCGTCAGGGAAGATGCGCGCAACTGCGTAAGTTGCGCGCTGCTGTCGCGCGCATGTGAATTAGTTGCGCGCGGATGTCGCACGCAACTCATGAGTTGCGCGCGCCACCTGTTGGTGAACTTTCCTTTAAGCCGAAAATTTGCCCCTCTTTAGTGTATTTAAACGTGGTTTCGTGTAGGCTTTTGATCATCTCGCATTCATTCGCTTAGTAAAATAAGAAACTAAAAAGAAATAATATCTCTTAACTCTCATTCTCTCTTTTTTTGAACAATGGTGAAGACCTTTGAACAACGTTTGAAGCAATGGTTCACTTCCCTTTCAATCGAGGACAAACTAGCTTTCAAAATTTACCACCTAGACCCTCTATTGAATTATATGCAACTAGTGGTTAACTTTGATTTTCTTCATGCCGCAGTCAACCATTGGGACTCTAATCACCATCTTTTCTAGTTTAAAGGGGACGAAACTGTCCCCCTTCCTGGTGAGTTTGAGGCCTTGTTGGTTTCCCTACAAATACTCTCCCTGTGACTTATTCGCCTACCTTGTCGGATCCCAAACCTATATTCCAAAGATTTTTTTGGCTTTTCCGACAATGATATGACAACCTTTGGAACTGAAGAAGGCGTGTGAACTTGATTTAATTTATTGAACATTTTGTTGCCGCTCGTGATTACATGACTAAACAACGCTTTAAAATTCGTGCTTTATGTTATTGTCTTTTTGTTAATTGTTTACTGAGAGTAGGAAAAGAATATGGAGATTATTCCATGGTGTCCATAGTAGAGCAAATAGAGGGATGTCATTCACCCGCTCCTTTGGTTTTGGCTGAAATAGTTCTTTGTTTGAATAGCCTTAGAGGAGACCCTAACGAAAACGGTTTCACATGAAGTCCACTCCTATTGCACGTACGTTTTTTTTTCGGCGTTTATCAGTGCAAGTTACAAGGTTGCGCTGGCATGACCAGCGCAATCTTCTTCGCTGCGCGCGGAGGGCGCGCGCAACTTGTTTGGTTGCGCGCGCCACCTGTTTGTGTAAAAAATCGCAAACTGATTTTTTTTTTTCTTTTTTTTTTCCAGATTTGGCTCATGGAGCGCTTGCAAATTGTTGATCAGCCACAAAACCTTGAGGCTAATGGAGTAAAGACATTCCCTGGACGTCGAATCCTTTATAAGCATAAGAACGAAGAGGAATGGACATCATTTTTCTGTCATGAGGTTCCTAACATACGTTTTGTGATTCCTTTGTGGAACATAAATAGTATGATAGGGAATAGTCTCAATTGCCCTTACATTAGGCTTTTAGGCCTATCTAGTACTACTTATATTTTTCCTTGTAGGGTAATGAGACAATACGGGATGAGACAATTTATTCCTCCGCAAGATTGTGATGCCCCTAAAGATGTGATCTTTAAACCCGAAAGAATTCCTCGTTGGATGGAATATTGGTCAAGTCTTCCTAGGTGGGTAATACAAAATCCTACTGCGAGTATTACATTATCTTCCTTTTACAAAGCTTGGATGAATGCAGCGGATAAGGGCGAATTAAACAAGGCTGAATCTCAACTTCAAGCCGCCACCGCTTGTAATCCCCCTAAGCCTTTGATGCATTTAACCACTACTACTCCTCCTAGTGGTCAAAACAAAGGAGTGAGAAGAAAATTAGACTTCTCATCCCCTAAGGCTTGTTCGAAGGAAGCAAAAAGGAAAGCTTCCTCCAAACCCGCGCAACAAGCTGTGAAAATCAAAGAACCTTCACCAAATACTCACAAGAAAGCTCTAATAGTCAAAGGGAAAGGAAAACAGGTTGCAAAGGCCCCAATCCCTAAATTGAAAAACAATGTTTGGGTGAAAAAGAAGAGTTTAGGGGAAAGCTCTAAGGTTTCTAAAAATACTGCGATGGAAACTACTCCTCCATCATCTGTGACAATCGAGGACATAGTAAAACCTTAGAGTGTTACATAATTTTATCATTAGTTTATTTCGAATAAAGTGTAATCACTACTTTGTTTTTTTTTTGTTTACAATCTAGTTCAACAATGTCTCTCTTATGAAATTTGAATGAAATAAAATGAGCTTTATATTTTTAGATTTTAATATGACCGAATCATAAATATTGCCTACATATTCGCATTACGAAATCAGATCTTCGCGTAGTTCTAATGTTGTTTTATTTTATTTTATTTTTCTTTAATCTTTTAGGTAGAAATTTAATGAAAAATTAATAAAACCTTGTTTAAAAAGAATTAAATCAAATTTTAATTTTATTTTCCGAGTATATGGTATATTTAAGAAACACCCTTTTTTGCCGCAAGTAGAAATCGCAACTTCATTCAAACAAAAAAAATTCGGGTTCGTAGTTCGTCATCAGGTGGTGCGCGCAATGTCTTTAGTTGTGTGAGCCTGTAGCACGCAACGAAATAAGTTGCGCGTGACATCAGCGCGCAACAATTCCAGTTGCGTGCGACACCTGTGCTACGAATGTTTTGAGAAATTTTTTTAAAATTCTGTGTTATTACCCCCCCCCCCAAGTGTGAAGATTTTTTTCGTGATGTTCGAAAAAATTTGAACACTTAAAACGGTTTATTATTTCTAAATTACCCCCCAAGTGTTATGTATTTTACCGTGGTATTCGGTAAAATGCATAACACTTAGAATCTTTCAATTGAATGCTAGTTAAAATTGGTTGTATGAGTGAACAAGTTTATCTGGATTTCATATGTAATATTTCTTAAGTCGATCAACGTTTATTAATTGGCGAATTTCATCACCTCCAATATCCAATAATCTGACGGCTCCTCCTGATAGGATTTCAATTACGCAGTAGGGACCTATCCATTTAGGTTTGAATTTCCCTCTTGGATCGGTTGGTGGACTCCTAACCTCCTTTAGTGCAAAGTCACCTTCTTTTATTTTTCTGGGTTTGACTCTTTTATTGAAATGACGCGCAATGCGCCTTTGGTACACTTATACATGATGCAAAGCTCTTAATCGTCGTTCATCAAGGAATAAAAGCTCTTCATACCTCGCTCTTACCCATTCAGCTTCCGGTAGCTTACATTTGAGTACGATGCGTAGGGATGGTATTTCCAGTTCGACTGGTTGAACTACGTCCATTTCAAAAACTAAGGAGTATGGATTTACTCCTATTGATGTTCGTATAGACGTTCCATAACCCCATAATTCAAAGTGTAGTTTATTCGGCCAGTCTTTATAACTTTCTGCCATTTTCTTATGATGATTGTTATATTTTTATTTGTCGACTCTATAGCTCCGTTCATTTGAGGTCTGTATGGGGATGAGTGATGATGTTTTACATTATAACGAGATCCCTGATCACTAATTAGCAAACATTTGCACTCTGGATCTTCAACTTTGAATTGAGATCCCTGATCACTAATTAGCTCATGTGGAACTCCATATCTACAAAAAATGTTTCGTTCAAGAAACTTTGCGACATGTTTAGAAGTGATATTCACGTAAGAAGCAGCCTCAATCCACTTAGTGAAGTAATCGATGGCTACTAATACATACTCGTGCCCTTCTGCTCCTATTGGTGGGACTTCTCCAATTATGTCAATTCCCCAAGTTGAAAAAGGCCAAGGGGAAGTGAGATTGTATAGTTCGGATGGTGGAAGGTGTTGTAAATTAGCAAACATTTGGCACTCTGGACAATTTTTAACATATTGTATGCAATCATGTTCCATAGTGGACCAATAGTACCCTTATCGTGAAATTATTTTTGAAAGCATTTTACCATTCATGTGAGGTCCATAAACACATGAATATGTTCAAAATGCTCGATGAATTGCTCTAGGTGTGCTTGGTATAATATCATTGTGGAGTTCTATATTTTCCATTTTCTTAGTATATGATTTATAATCAAACTGGAGTCTCCATATACCTTTAATTTTTGCACACCTATGCTAGTTGCTGCTTCTAATCAAATAATGCACGCTTCACATTCTGCGGCATTATTAGTTACCTCAAAGTCTAGTTTAACAGAGATTGGAGTATATGTTCCCTCTTAACTTATGAGTAACACTCATACGCCACAACCTTTTTGGTTGGACGTGATGGGCGTCATAAGTGGAACCCATTTGATGAGCATTTAGGTTTATTTCATCCTACTGTCATAGCTTTCTTGCTTAATAAATGCTTAGTTTTATGCTTTGTTGCTTAGTTTTACCTTTACTCTCTTATTTTGTAGCTTTTGTGTATTTCGTTGGTTTTCTAGCCTTTTCTCCTTTATTTGCTCTATTTCCATGGTTGTAGGTATTGTACGAGGTTCGGGTCTTAATATTGGTGATCTAGTAAGGTGGAGAAAGCCTTTGGAGCGAGCTCACGACATTTGGAAAGCTCAAGATGCAAGGAAGTGGAAATTCCAAGTCTTGGCTCTTGCGCTCTCATGCCGTGCTACCATTAAGAAGTGGTGTACCCACCAATCTAGATCTTAAGCTACTGAAACTCCTAGTGTTCATCATCATCATCATCATAGTTGCGCGACCTTAGCGAACGCACGAAGCCGCGAGAATTTTGAAGAAACCCAGTGAAGCGCGGGCGCGCAAAGCTTGGGTGCGGCCGCACCACAAGGTGGCACGGGCGCACCTCCCCATGGTGCGGGCGCGCCTCCTCTTCTGCGCGGACGCGCCTCCCTGGGTATTTGTTGCTCGGTTTTTTGTGTTTTCGCGCCTCTATAAATATCTTTTTAACCCGATTTTTGGGGCAAGTTTAGAATAAGTTTCATATTACATTTAGATCATATTCTTATATTAGTTGAGAGCTTCTCTCTCTAGTTTTAGGGTTGGTTTTAGGAGTAGATTTTAGAGAGAGAAAGTGAGGAATGTCAATGGTGATTGAGAGATTGAAGATTCAATGATGACAATTGTATTGGAGATCTTCTCTATTATCAATGAGCATTTCTAAACTCTATTTCATTTATTGCTTTGATTAATATTCATGTTTGCTTGATTTGTTTTGGATTTGTTTGGATTTTGATGTTTGATCTTTGATTAGAGTAATTGATCTTGATAGATTGTTGATTCTTGTTTTCTATAGTTGTTTGTTGATTTTATGATGTTGTTAGAGTAGTTTGCTTGCTAGGGTGATGGTGAAGCATATATGACGTGATGGATTGATGTAAATTGGGGATAATTGATGGAGTTGATGATGTGATTAAATTGGTCGATTGATCATGTGCATGTGTGTAACTAATTGAAGAATAGCCAACTTTGATTGTTGCACTAGATTGCTTTGTAAGATCACATTGATACGGATAATTGATTTGTGGCTTGCATTTAACGATTGAGGTGTCTTGTGACGTTCCTAGCTAGATTTTATCGTAGTTGACGCTAGTTAGACCTCTAGGACAATAGCTCGTTATGCTCTTTTGGTTGCATGATTGGTTTTCCCTTGCATCACTCGACTTAGTCAACTTCCTATCCCAATTTGCTATGTTCATTGCTATTATATGTGAATCCTAATCCCTAGCACTTTATTTGTTTGATTTCTTCGTTTAAGTAGTTGTTAGTGTCACCTCCTTTCCTTCGTCTTCTACCTAGCTTAGGCACCCAAATTGAAAGCACTTAGATATTACCGTTCCTTTGGGTTCGACCCTTGACTTATCTCTATCCTTGTATTTAGGTTAGTTAAGTGTTTATAAATTTGGTTTGGCTTAGGGAGGATTAGTCCAACAACCTAGTTTCGACCCTTGTCTAAATGGCGTCGTTGCCGGGGAACGGTGTCAATGTTTGAGTGTTTTTTTATTGCTTGAGTCTAGGTCCTTGTTTTTACTTTTATTTTATTTGATTTTTGTTTGCTTTGTAAAAAAAATGGCATGTTTTTCTTTTCCTCAATATGTTGATGAGTCTTTTCATGCCTATTTCCATAGACTTATAAGGTTCTTGAACTACAATCATTGTAGTTATTGGGAGGCTTGTGAGATTTGCTATTATGGTTTGAATGAACAAACTAGGAATGAAGTTGAATGCATGAATAATGGGAGATTTAGAGCATTGTCAATTGATGATGCTTGGGATTTTTATGTTCGGGTTGCTAGGGGTGAATATAATAAGGGTAATCATGTTTCTATTTTTGATGTGCAATGTGTTAATTCTTCCAATGCTAGCATGATTTCCCATGATTTTTCACATGATCCCATAGTTGAACCTAGAACAAATGCTTCCAATTCTATTTCCTCTTTTGTTCATGATAACGAAGTGCATGCTCATGTTAACAAATCTCATATGTTTGATTGTTCCCCCACTCCCCAATGTGACGTATATGCTCATGATTTCAATGTCAATTCTTCCAATCTTGGTTGTACTTATTGTTCTCTTGTTGAGCCTCAATCCTCTACACCTTTTGAATCTCATTTTTCTACTTTGGAAACTCAAATTAGGCATATTGAGCTTAATGATGATCTTGGGCCTAAAGAGGAGTCGATTCTTATTTCTTAGAGAAGTCAATTGGAGGTGATGAAAAAGAGTGTGGAGCATGTTATGGAGGGAAGAAAGAGAGGTGATGAGCTAAAAAGCGAATTGCCATCTTTGATGCTTGTGTGTGAAAATTACAAACCCAATGTGTGTGTTGAGGATGATGATGGTGATTTTGAGCAACCAAGAGAGTGTGAGGATACCATTGATGAGCATTTGTTTGATGGTGAAGGAGTTGAGAACGAAGAGAGTGTTGTATTTGTAAATCCTAACCCTCCTTCCCATCTTGATGAGTCTCAAGTGTATGAATGTCTCTTCTATCCATGAGTATTTGGAATTAATTGTGGTTATGTCAAATGTGTATTTTGAGGGTAAAAGGAATAGCCGTAGCTTTTTAAGTAAGTTCATTGAGAAAGCTTCATGGGAGAGAGATGGTTTTGAGATGAATTTGCATCCATTCATGCATGGTTTTGAGACTCTAGGCTTTAAGGAAATTGAGGGAGTTGTTGTTCATGAAGGTAGTGGAGGAGATTATCTGGTTCCTCTTGGGACTTGGATGTTTGAGGGAGATGGTGATCAAGAGTGTTCCTCTATTAAGGACTCTATGATTGATTTTCATGCCCACATTGGCAATGTGAGACCTTGTGTTGAGGGAGTAGCTACCCCTTTGCCTATTTCTCATACCCCTTTCTCTTAAAGGTTTGACTACATGCCCTATTGCCCTATTTTTCTCCCTTCCTATCTCAAAGAGCCTATTGGGGAGCCCTTTTCTACGGATGATTTTAATGTCCCTCATTCCATCATTGTTGAGGAAGAGGAGAATATTGCCAACAAAAAATATTTTAGTGAGGAGGATTTGCCTTTTTCTTTTTCTTTCCATTCTTCTTTTCCCCCTTCTTCTTCTTATTTTCTTGTTTTTCCTTTTGATCCTTCTTCTTCTTTCTTTTGGCACCTCCCTTCTCACTTGCGTGCAATGATCTTGTTGCACGTTCTTTATTTGTCTTGTGCCTACTTGTTATCATATGAAATGTGTAGTAGTGCATTTGACAAGCTCTTGCGATCGTTGCAATATTATTTTATTAGAGCGGTCAAGCTTGGACCTTAAGCACGCCTTTCTCGGGAAGTAACCCGTGTTTTAGATTAGATTTTCCTCTTCTTTTTAGAATAGATTTTCTCTCATGGAAATGTTTCTGTGACTTTTGCTAGGTGCATGAGTTGATATACTTTGATGCTTCGATTTGGATCAAGAATCAAGGAAGGTTGACTCCTATTTTTGCTAGCATATGGAAACAAGGTTCAATTCTTGAGAAATTAGCTTTGAAAGGTTTGATTGGGTCATTAGTGGGTATTTACACCCACTGAATATCCGGTAATATCCTTCCTTGCTCTTTCTCTAATGGATGATGACTAGTTGGACATATGTTATTTGGTTGGATTGATGTCCTTGTTTTCCCCTCCCATGGATTATATGATTTATGTTTGAGTGTATTGTCTTATTCAAGCTTGGGGGAGGGTATTATATCATGTTTGGTGGGATATTGATCATATATGTTATGCAGCTTTGTATATGCTTTTCCATGTTCTTTTATTTTGAAAAACTCCAAAAAGATTTTGTTTCTTTCAAGGCAAATTTGCAATGTGTTTTGTTTTGTTCTTGCTTTGGACATAATAACATTTGGACTTGTATAATTGAATGCTTTTCTTCCTAAATGGTAACGGTGTGCACGGTTTGAGAGTATGCTCGGTTGATTCTAGGATAAAGCATGCTAAGGTAGTTGGTTAGAACTAGTGGGAACATGAAGCCGGATTGTACTTGTTTGTGGCATGCTTGGTAGTTTCTCCTTATAGTTGATTTGACACCAATAGTGAGTTTTTGCTACATCCATGTGAGGTTCATTGTTTTTCAAACCTTCAATCAAATTTGAAGAGCAACGTGGATCCTTGACTATCGCGGACCTAATCTAGAAATCTTGATCTATGATTCTTAAACCCGAGACCGAACCATCTAGGGAGGACAAAGGGCATCTTTTCGGGGTGGTAATTTTTACTTTTTAGGATAGTTCGTTTCATCTTTATTTTTGGGTTTACATTTTCCTTCTTGCAACCATTTGAGCCTTATACCTTCTTTTCAAGCCACATCTTTAGATCTTTGGCCTTTTGTTTCATTTTCTTTCTTTTCTTGGTTTTTGTAAAGCAATTGATCATACTTGATGGAGTTTGTGGTGGAGAAGTTGGAGTGTTTGGTTCTTACGAAAGCATGATTGTGTTATGTTTTCTTTGTGAATAATGGCAAATGAATAATAGAAAAAGCAGTCCATGTTAAAAAAGGCAAGGACAAATAAGTTCAAAGTTGTAAAAAGTTGTCCAAAGTTAAAAGAGGCGAGAATAAAGCACAATTAAGCAAGAAAAAGAACAAAAAAAGTAAAAAATGAAAAAATTCAAAAATATTTTGATGTGAGTATTCTCCCTTTTTGAGCATTGAGGACAATGCTCCATTTAAGCTTGGGGGGAAGCGTTCTCACTCTTTTTGTGTATATATTTGTGATTTATAGCTTTGAATAAGCTTGGGGATGTTGGTGTTTTTGTTTGGTGTTTTTTTGGTTTTAGTGTAAAGAAAGGGTCCGTTCTTTGCTTCACTATTAGGAAAACCCCCAATTTTCAAATTTTAGCCTACCTTCACCCTTTATGCCCTTATGTTACAACCTTTGGGAAAGCCCTTTTGACCTAGAAGTTGAGTCACTATTCGGGGGAGGGAATCATGGGTCATTGCCTAAGGAGAGGGAATGCATAGTCAAGATGTCGAGTAGCTTAAAATAATTTCTTTTCCGCTTCCTTCGCGGAACTATTGAGATGCTCGCTAAGGGAGATTTGAGACTAGTAGGGAGAACGCGGTAAGATAGTTTGGGATGAAAGTGGATTGTGAAAGCTAGTTCTTATGCTTAGCATATTTATGTTTCAATCAACCTTGGATATCTTGGAACGTGCACTCCCTTATTTATTTAGAAAGATTTGCATTCACTTGTGCTTGTACATTTGGAAAAGTCCTTTCATGAACATGTGTTTGCTTTGCTTTTCTCTTGATTTCTTTTCATGCTTTGCCTTGTTTGTATTATTACGAGAGTTATGGGTTAAACTCTTAGGATACCCTTACGAGAGCATCACTCGTCCTCTAGAGCAATCTAAGGGTTTAAATGGCTTGTATTTAGTTCCTAAAATTGACCGTGATTCCTACGAAAGTGAGTTAGTGTACATTCTTGTCTCTTCTCCTCTTTGGCTTGTTTGAATAAGCTCGTCATTTTCACTCCCTTGGTTATGTTTTGCTCGAGGACGAGCAAAAGATAAGCTTGGGGGCATTTCAGGGTGTCATAAATGGCACCCATTTGATAAGCATTTAGGTTGATTCCATCCTCTTTTCATAGCTTTCTTGCTCAATAAATGCTTAGTTTTATGCTTTTTGCTTAGTTTTACCTTTCCTCTCTTATTTTGTAGCTTTTGTGTATTCGTTGGTTTTCTAGCCTTTTCTCCTTTATTTTCTCTATTTTCGTGGTTGTAGGTATTATACAAGATTTGGGTCTTGATATTGGTGATCTACTAAGGTGGAGAAAGCCTTTGGAGCAAGCTCACGGTATTTGGAAAGCTCAAGATGCAAAGAAGTTGAAATTCCAAGTCATGGCCCTTGCGCTCTCATGCCGTACTACCATTAACAAGTGGTGTACCCACTAAACTGGAGCTTAAGCTACTGCCAACCCTAGTGTTCATCATCATCATAATTGAGCGACCTTAGCAAACGCACGAATCCGCGAGAATTTCGAAGAAACCTAGTGAAGCGCGGGCGCGCAAAGCTCGGGTGCGACCGCACCACCCCTTGGCACGGGAGCACCAATGGGTGGCGCGGGCGCACCTCCCCACGGTGCGGGCGCGCCTCTCTGCTGCGCGGGCGCACCTCCCTGGGTATTTGTTACTCGGTTTTTGGTGTTTTCGCGCCCCTATAAATATCTTTGTAACCCGATTTTTTGGGCAAGTTGAGAATAAGTTTCATATTACATTTTGATCATATTTTTAGCTTAGTTGAGAGCTTCTCTCTCTAGTTTTAGGGTTAGTTTTTGGAGTAGATTTTTTAGAGAGAAAGTGAGAAATTTCAATGTGATTGAGAGATTGAAGATTCAATTGTGACAATTGTATTGGAGATCTTCTCTATTATCAATGAATATTTCTAAACTCTATCTCATTTATTGCTTTATTTAATATTCATGTTTGTTTGATTTGTTTTGGATTTTTTTCGATTTTGATGTTTGATCTTTGATTAGAGTAATTGATCTTGATAGATTGTTGATTCTTGTTTTCTATAGTTGTTTGTTTATTTGATGATGTTGTAAGAGTAGTTTGCTTGCTAGGGTGATGGTGAAGCTTATATGATGTGATGGATTGATGTAAATTGGGGATAATTGATGGGGTTGATGATGTGATTAAATTGGTCGATTGATCATGTGCATGAGTGTAATTTATTCAAGAATGGCCAACTTTGGTTGTTGCACTAGATTGCTTTGTAATTTCACATTGATACGGACAATTGATTTGTGGCTTGCATTTAATGATTGAGGTGTCTTGTGACGTTCCTAGCTAGAGTTTATCGTAAATGGTTAGACCTCTAGGAAAATAGCTCGATATGCTCTTTTGGTTGCATGATTGGTTTTCCCTCACATCACTCGACTTAGCCAACTTCCTATCCCAATTTGCTATGTTCATTGCTATTATTTGTGAATCCTAATCCCTAGAACTTTATTTGTTCGGTTTCTTCGTTTAAGTAGTTGTTAGTGTCACCTCCTTTCCTTCGTCTTCGGCCTAGCTTAGGCACCCAAATTGAAAGCACTTAAACATTACGTTCCTTTGGGTTCGACCCTTGACTTACCTCTATACTTGTATTCAGGTTAGTTAAGTGTTTATAAATTTTGTTTGGCCTAGGGAGGATTAGTCCAACGACCTAGTTCCGACCCTTGTCAGGACGCACCGTCGAAGTACATTACCCATTTGTCATCTTGTGTCATGAGAATCTCTTCATCCGGAAGATGAGTAGTTTCTTCATGACTTGTTTGAATTGGGTGTTGTGCCAGAAAGTCGCAAATTACCTTTCCTTTCATTGATTTTTCAGGAATATATTTTAACTCAAATTCAGCCAACATCACCAACCACTTAGATATCCTTCCTTGTATGGGTGGTTGTTCAAACAAATACTTTATCGGATTTTGTTGAGAAATCACATGAGTAGTGTGTGGCAACATATAATGTCGTAATTTTTTGGTTGCCCACAGTAATGATAGGCTTGTCTTTTCCAAGGTGTTATATTTTGTTTCATATTGTACGAATTTTTAACTTATGTAATATATTACACGCTCGACTTTTTCTACCTCTTGTGCTAACATGGCACCTGTGGTTGTGTCTGTAACTGTAATGTATAGCCTAAGAGGTAGTTTGGGTACTGGTGGTGCTAAAATTGGTGGAATTTTGAGATAATCTTTTATTTTCTCAAAGGCCTTTTGGCATTGATCGTCTCATTCATGTTTCTCCTCTTTTTTCAATTTTTTAAATATTGGCTCACAATTCATAGTCAATTTGTTGATAAATCGACTAATGTATTGTAGTTTGCCAAAGAATCCCCTAATTTCTTTTTCTGTATGAGGGAAGGCATGTCAACAATTG